AAAAGCCATCAAAGCTGATACGCCCATATTGATACCGTATAGACACTGGGATTTGCTTATGCTACCTGCGCTCACACCTGGTGCTACAAAAGAAATGTTGGCCGTTAAGACTACTTCTGCGATCGAAAGCCCTAGATACGTCATCGTCGGTTTCCAGACAGCCAAACAAAACAAATTTACAGAAGATCCTACACACTTTGATAACATCGATATTACCAACATTAGATTAACGTTAAACGGCGAGAGCTTCCCTAACGAGAGGATACGATTAAATTTTGCAAAGAACGACTACGCTGAAGCTCACTACAACTACACCGAGTTTTATCCAAGTTACTCGAATACGCTGCTCGAGGCGGGACGAAAGCATAAAATCGTCTACCGTGGACGTAAGATTGGATATTGAAGCAGCACAAGGTTTTCCTGATAATACTAGTTCCTATTGCATAATTGTACATGATTGTATCATGGAACACCTCCCACTTAGCGAAATCGTAAAAAATCTAGCTTAAAAAATAAATCTAAGTAATTGTTAGTTAGTCGTTTGATAATCGTCCGAGATGAAGGTTGTGGCGCTAGACATCCAGGGCTTTATGTTACTGAGTACCGATGGAGGTTATGAATTTTATCCTAAGGAAATCACGATTCAGGATGCACGCCAAGTGAGCCATTATTTGATTAAACCGCCTACAAGTTTCCATAGATTATCTCGACTGAATCAGAAGCAAGTAAAATATACGGAACGAAATATCCACGGCATCCGCTATTCATCTGGAGACGTAGAATATAGTGCGCTGAACGCTATACTTGAAGATCATTTGCTGTGTACCGATATAATTTATGTGAAAGGACGTGAACAGCTGGATTATTTAGAGAAAATACTACCGCAATTGGTTCCCTCCAGCTGGCAGCACTTACCCAATGTGGTAAACGTTGAAAAATGTGAAAATTACTGGGATAACCCCCCACCACGTTTCCAAGTAGATGTACTCCGTTGTTCATATCATATGAATCCAAATAAAACAGTCAGGTGCAGCAGGCGGAACTGCGAAGATCTTTTCGTTTGGGTATACAACCTATTGCTGCAATGAAGAAGAAAACAGTTACTTTCGACGAATCTAAAAATATAGTGCATCTAATGAAAACGTGGACTTTTACATCTACTGCAGCTCAGCGTAGATACTGGGAATTTTTTGCTGCGGATAGATTCAAGAGAAGAATTGAAACGACTTCTAAAATTCTCAAACCATTATTAGATAAACATCTTGAAAAAATTCGCCAACTAAAATCCGAAATAACACCCTCCGACAACCAATGTAAAATGGCTAAACAGTTTCAAAAGATGAACATTCAAGACAAGTGGGATGATGTATTTACGAATCCTCATCGATTTTCCGCAGCGAAGAATGGACCTACATCTACAAGAATTGTACCAATTACGTTATAATATTACATTTATTATATTTTAATATGCTTAACATATGTTTAATTGTCCTTGTTTGTTTTATTTCCTTTCTCCCTCTACCTTTCATGTATAAGAACAACCAGTTATAAGACTTTACAAATCATTATGTACCTCATTCATTTATAGACAGTGGTCTGTTGCTTAACAACAATGGTCGTTTAACGTACCAATTTCATAATGTTAACTACTAAGTACTATACAATGTGTTGTACGTACATGATATACACAACGTACACGAAATGTATACGTGCTACAGAAATGTTAGCGAGAATGGTATATGCCCATATACGTTAATTCAGATGAGACGTAATATAGTTAATGGTGGTAAGCTGAGGGTCTTCGGGGCGTCAATTCCGGAACATTCTAAATTCTACAAGTTGAGAATAACGTTTCAAAATAAGTCGATTGGAGATTTTGATACCTGGAGGTATCCAGGTATCCTGGACCTATTTTAAACTGCTCCGATTATAAAGATGTATACGCAGACGCACTCATCGTAGCGTCTGAAAATACGAAAACAGATTTGAATACAATTTCTGGACTTATTTACTTTATAACAGTGGCTACAATTGTATTAGTACTGAATTATTATTACAACCCTACCACCTCCATTGTATAATATTCAAGTTGTTATCAGGAAACAAAGGGACTAGAAACACAACATTTGTTCTGTAAATTTAATCATTAGATCCAATTATTCTTCAGTATATCATAGTCATTAGTCAAGTGTAGCAATAGGTGCTTTTAAAGAGAGCGTAATGTCTGGTAGGAAGCCAATCGAAGTTATGCCAAATTCCGTTCCTGAGGACGAATGCTGGGGACCGCCTGAAAAGGTTTGCCGAATATGTCGAAAGCGAGAACGAAACGTTATTTTTCTACCTTGCGCTAATATGAAAGTCTGCTGGACTTGTGGAATGCATATAAAATGTTCTACTTTCAGCAACAGTTCGAATATGATATTAAATAACTGTCCCATATAAATCATGACCTACCTTATGCCAATAAATAGATATAAATTTTTGTTTCTCGTTTCTTTTTCATATATCTATCGAGTCAGGTTGGTCGAGTGGTTAAGGCGCCTTGTTTAAGTCTTGGTTCCCAAAAGGAACGTGGGTTCGAATCCCACACCTGACATAAAAAATGTAATAAAAAAAATAAAATAAAATGATAAAAATAAAAAATGATAAAAATGTAATTGCCTCCGGTGAGATTTGAACTAATGACCTCCGGTTTACAAGACCATTGCTCTACCACTGAGCTAAAGAGGCTCATGCTAGGTTTACTAGAAAGCCTGCATATTTGCCAACACTACAATTATAAAGGAAATAATATATCAGGTTACAGTTTATACTAAAAAGCAGGTTTGAACCAGGAAAAAGCAGATCTAAACCAGTAGAAAACAGGTCTGAACCAGTAGAAAACAAGTCTGAACCTGTGGAAAACAGGTTTTAAATTGAGGTGACCTTGACCCCAGACGGTCAGAGGTCGATGACATACCTACGAATGGCAAACTCTCTTGGAGCTACTGGAACGTTTGAAAACAGATTTCTTCCAAACAACCCTGCAAGGTTGGCCTGATGAGTATGAACCTGTGACTCATCATTGTGGAGATTACACGACAGTTACCCAAATAGTCTATGAAAATATGAAAATGGTGCAAATCATAAAATACGACATGTGCATCGATCTTTTCCTTCAAGATGTTGAAGAACTGTTAAAACTCGATACTTGTGTGCTGTCACATAGAATAAATATGTTAGATTCTTTAGACTTTTGTCATTACTATCATAATGTGTTAGATATTGTAAATGATTGGATAGAGTCTAACAAAATTTCTCTAAATATAAATGAAATTATAAGTTATTTTTGTGATGTATCTAATGATAATATATTAAGTAATGAATATCTTTACTTTTATCAAACTAATGTACCGTCTGATATAAGTAATAATTTAAAATGTTAAGTAACATGTCCTTTATGTTTTGATAACCTTGGTAACCTCCTGCATTCCAAAAAGCTAATAACAACTTACACTAGTCATATCAGGTTATAGTTTATGTTAAAAAACAGGTCTGAGGCAGGAAAAAACAGGTCTGAGGCAGTAGAAAATAGGTTAGAACCTGTATAAAACAAGTCTGAACCAGTAGAAAATAGGTCAGAACCTGTAGAAAACAGGTCTGAACCTTGGACTCGAAAGATGCAATACCGGATAAGACTGACGCAATGCTGTTAAAGGAAATAATATATCAGGTTAAAGTTTATGTTAAAAAACAGGTCTGAACCAGTAGAAAACAGGTCTTAACCTGTAGAAACTTGACCTCGAATGATGCAATACCAGATAAGAATGACGCAATGCTGTTTGGAGGTCATTGACCTCCCCTTATCGTGATTGAATTTTAAATTTACTACCAACTGGCACTGTGACGTCACTTCCATGCCGCCATGACACTTCTTGTATGACGATACTTTCATGCCGCCATGATACTTCTTGTATGACGTCACTTCCATGCCGCCATGACACTTCTTGTATGACGATACTTCCATGCCGCCATGATACTTCTTGTATGACGTCACTTCCATGCCGCCATGACACTTCTTGCATGCCAACACCCACGCATCTCTTGCACAACCACAATGCCCACAAGAAGCCGTTGAAGGAGCGATGGACACTGGCCATCGAGTTTGTGACGTCATTTGGTGTGGCGCAGAATCGGCCTATTATATCTACTAAATATTGATTGTTAATTAAACTATTGCTTCAGTTAACCGTATTTGCATTAAAATCAAATAATTTTAATTGAAAGTTTTAACGATGTGTAACAATGTCATTATATCAAGTTAGGACCGTTTTATAAACTTTTTCTGTTGCTATTCCCATTCCCGCTACTTGGGAAATCTGGAAAAATTTAAGAGGGTCTTCCACCAGTCAATCACCAATAGTAAACGATTTAAGGAAGTTGAACAGTTGAACAGGAGAACTGTTCTTCTGTTGAACTGTTCAAATTCCCTAAATCTTTTACTATTGGTTCTTTTACATTAAAGAGTTATATTATATATATTTTTTTAAATTTGCACCCCCATTTTGAGGTACAAGTTAGTAGGTAAATCATTTTAATTGAAGTTACCTTGAAGGTAACTCCCCTGCGTTGGTTCATTTATGAATCACCTTGTATATTGCACCAATTTTTCAGTCATTAAATTTTTACAGAGGTGCAGTTATCGCTATCATTACTTGACATAAACTAATGATTTTTTAGCAAATTACTCGGTAAAATTATGTTGATATACTGGAATCTTTTCTTTATTTGATATTTCTTATGAAAGATATAAAAGCATTTTTGACGTGTCGTGATAAAAATTTTTATTTAGTTATCGACAAAGAAAATTAATATATGGTTTTTCAGATTTTATGAATATGAAATTTAAAAAACTGTAAAATTCCCTTATGATAAAAATGTTTTAAGTAACTAAAGAAATAAATAATCTACGGTTCTTTTTTTGCTTTAACAGGGACACTGTACATGCACATTTGTTTTAGGAATATCACAGCCTAGAAACTACCAGATTTTTTCTTATTTTACAAGCACTTGAACAAACAGATGTAGACAAGAAATTAACCTACGGAATAGTATTTTCTCGACAAGATCAACTTCACATTGACTTGTTTGTTTTTTTCTCAGTATTTTTTTCATGCTTCTTCTTGTTTCTTGCTGCATGTGTCGTTGCTTGGAAAGCCAAGCAGGCTGCGGATGTACGGAGGGCTAGAAGACGTCATGTTGTAGAAATGCAGCATATGGCTAAACGAGCTTTTGCTACTGTGACCTTAAATTTATATGTCAAACTGGGGCCAAAGAAATCCGCATATGATTTGCGACCAGTTGCGGTGGAACCTACAGGTAATTTTACATTTTCTAAAATGTGTGCTTCCTTAAATATCAGTCACAATTTTAATCAATCATCTTAAATACGAGTATGATATAAAATATATTCTTTAAAATATAACATAATTTTCAGGAAAACTAAAACATCTCAATAAAAAATCTGTTCTTGATGAAGTACTTATATTCATATATTATCATTTAGATTTTAATTACGGTATCAAATAGTTGTTGCAAAAAATTGCTAACAAGGTAACTGTTGTGAGGATGGGCACCGTCATGTTGATAAAATACTTTTCTGTAATACGCGAGAGGTAAATTTTGTAAATATGTAGCTGTTTTCAAAATTTTGTAAAATGTTTAAGTACTGCTTACCTACAAAAAAAAAATGGTTTGAAATTTAAAAATTACTCAAAAAATTCCTGTTTATAGTTTACCGTTTAAGTTTTCTTCATATAAACGAATTGTTACCACGATATTCATTTCTTACAGCTCAATAAACGTTTAATTGCCAGTTGAAAAGTTTGCATCATAAATCTATTTGCGTTCGTCACTCCAACAATGGAAATTACTCCTATTAGTCCTGTAGCCAGGGGGGTCCCAATTGCCTCCTTCATTTAGCTGGAGATACCCAAGTTTTTTTTGTGTATTTTGCAGAACACGAATTTTTTGGGTAGAAGTTTGCCCGGATGTCGATAAGTTTTTTATTAACAAAAAATTTGCAAAATACTGAAAACTTAGTTTTTGCCAAAATAAAAAGTATTTTCTTGTTCTTTGACACATTTCTCGCAATTTTTTTGTTAAACGCATAGTTTTCGAGATAAACGCCGTTAAAAACTCGAAAAATGCGATTTTTGCAATTTTCAATCATTAATAACTTTTGATTGAATAGTTATTTTGTAATTCTGCTTACGGCGTTTGAAAGTTCACGTTAAATATTACAAATTATGAGTAATTGCAGTGTAAAAATTTGTGTTTTTCCACTGTTATTTGAAGCTATAAACAAATAGCTTTTGAGTGTACAGAAGGATGCGCCGCCATGTATGTAAGAGAGCGGTTGCCTTCTTACAGGCATTTAATACACGATTCTCATTTCTAGACCAAAGAAACGATGAAACTGAACGAAACATTAACAATTTAATGAAAATTTGCAATATTACAATAATTAAAATTATTATACAAGTTTAATAAATAATAATTATAAAAACACCTAAATTATACGATGTTAATTTTTTTATTATCGTTTATAAATAAAACTAATTATATAATTTGTATAATTGTTGTTGTCGTTGTTGTTGTTATTGTAGCTGTTACTATTGCTGTTGCAGTTGTAATCAATAGAGATTTACTCTATAACTATACTATAACTCGTTGTTATTTAACGACAGCAACAGCAGCGGTAACTACAACAACTAATAACTACTACTGCTACTACGGCAACAATGACCGCAACAACAACAACAGAAGGGGCAGCATCAGCAAGATCAATAACAGCAATAACAACTACATCTGATCTAAGGCAACGATGTTGATAACGCTCTTAAATCTTGTTACTTGAACTGGTTTCCTTAGTCGACAGTATAAGGAGGATACGAAGCGTTCTATCGAGTTAGGAAGGAAAGCTTTGACTACTACAGTAAGGAATCTCTGACTACTTAGGAATACTCTGATTATAGATTAAAGGAGTGAACTTTAGTTGTCACTGTTGCTGCTGCTGTTGATGTTGTTGTTACTGTTATTGTTGTTGTTGTTGTTGTAACTGTTGCTGTTGTTATCAATAGAATCAATTACAACGACAGCAACTGCAGCGTTAACTACAACTAGTACTACAACAACAACTACTACTACTACTGCAACAACAACGACGTCAACAACAGAAGCATAAGCACCAGCAAGATCAATAACAGCAATAACAACGGCATCTAATCTAAGGCAACGATATTGATAACGCTCTTTAATCTTGTTACTTGAACTGGTTTCCTTAGTCGACAGTATGCGTAAGGAGGATACGAAGCGTTCTATCGAGTTACGAAGGAATGCTTTGACTACTACAGTAAGGAATCTCTTACTACATAGGAATACTCTGATTATAGATTAAAGGACTGAACTTCAGTTGTCACTGTTGCTGCTGCTGTGTTACATGTTATTACAGTCGTTGTTCCTGCTGCTGCTGGTGTTGTTGTTGTCGTTGTTGTTGTTATTGTAGCTATTACTGTTGCTGTTGCAGTTGTAATCGATAGAGATTTACTCTATAACTATACTATAACTCGTTGTTATTTAACAACGCCAGCAACAGCAGCGGTAACTACAACAACTAATAGCAACTACTACTGCTACTACGGCAACAACGACCGCAACAAAAACAACAGAAGGGGCAGCATCAGCAAGATCAATAACAGCAATAACAACTACATCTGATCTAAGGCAACGATGTTGATAACGCTCTTAAATCTTGTTACTTGAACTGGTTTCTATAGTCGACAGTATGCGTAAGGAGGATACGAAGCGTTCTATCGAGTTAGGAAGGAAAGCTTTGACTACTACAGTAAGGAATCTCTGACTGCTTAGGAATACTCTGATTATAGATTAAATGAGTGTACTTTAGTTGTCACTGTTGCTGCCGCTGTTGGTGTTGTTGTTACTGTTGTTGTAGCTGTTGCTGTTGTTATCAATAGAATCAATAACAACGACAGCAACTGCAGCTTGAAGTTGTCGAAAGCAATAGTAGTGTAAGCTTCTCGATCAAAATGATTTGGTATAGGAGTATTATTTACGGAATTCGATAATGTAAATGATGCTAATTGTACTCAAATTCTTCTAATTTCATCATAAGAAATACTAAGACCAAGACGATTCAAAATAGTTATAGTATTTTTACTTTTTGTAGTGCTGTATATGTAAAGACCTAAACGAACATTCTGGGGAGTTCTTTTATAACCATTTACCATAGTGAACATGACCTGATACAAACTTTTAATTTTCAACAATTTTATTAAATCTGTCATAAGAATCACAAGCGTTAAAATAATCTGATAAATCAATAGAAAACGGTTTCCTACTTTTGTCTACGAGCTTTTTCACGTCGGTATTAAACAAAGTAGAAAAAAATTTTTGAAAGCATTCTGAAATATCAAAATTCTCTCAGGAATTTCGTAAATCTGCTTCATCACAAAAAGAATATTCGAGCCTAAAATCAACTTCTCTCAAAGAATTTCCAAAATCGATAGTACACTGTGTTGGACAATAAGCTTCTTCAATCACTTTGTTAATATTATTGCAATGAAATAACGTAGATTTTTTGGAATCTGTAGGATCAACAAATTTTATTTTGTCCCCAAAGTTATTAAACAAGATTTAATTTTCAATGTTTTTACGGAATTACATGGTTTTTGTTTTAACATTTTTGAAATATCTTCTAGGGAAAAGATTTTTCCTAATAAAAACTGAGCTTCGATGGTCTTAATGACTTCAACAATATCAATTTTGCAATCCTTAGAAATATTCAAATCAGAATATTCATTTGATACATTTGATTCATGCGAATTATCAATGGCATTTTCGTGTTGATGAATTTTTACGTTCGATATTGACTTTTTGTACTTATATTGGTAATTCCCCATGCAATTTTTATGATAAAATAACCCAGCTTGTGAGAATGATTCGACGCAAAGTAAATTTGCAGTGTTCTCAAAACTTTCATCTTGAAGAAAACGAGTTGCTTCAAACATTGATTTGGACAAATCAGGATTAGACATTTGGTATAATTCTTCATTTTTTTTCTTTTGTAACCGCAAATAAAGCATTTATCAGTATTACATTGTGGATCTAATTTTATTCGTTTCGAGCGTAGCAGCATTAAACTTTGTTCATCGTTTGTCTCTTCTTCATTTTCTTCTGCATTTTCAGAATTAAAACATGACTCTGATTTTTTGAACATCTGTAAACTTTTTTGATTTGTGTACGTTTTGTAACAATTATTCAAATGATACTGGAACGTACTTACAAAAAAATCCATACAAAGAAAACTTTTAATTTGACTGTACTTAAAAATACTCAACTGTATATTTCTAAAAAAACAATTCTTTGCAATCACTAAAAGTGAAATAACTGTATTTCAAGAATATTTCGATACAGTAATTATAATAATACATACAATGTTTTATTAAAAAACAATATGCTTTTATTCTCTGAATTACAAACACAAAATACTTTTATTATATTATACAAGTTTAAAAAATAATAATTATAAAAACAGCTAAATTATACGATGTTACTTTTTTATTATCGTTTATAAATAAAACTAATATAATTTCGCTAATTTTTTTCATATAAATCGTATAATAATTTTTACAAAGCAAATTAGAATTAACCAAACATTATATCTTTGATATTTCAAATTTTCCGCGCCTTTTTAATGCATTTTGTTTTAATCGATTGTCATTTATTTTTAAACTTTTTTTTTAGTCGCGCTTCAAATTTGCACTGAAGATGTAGAATTATTAACGTTCATGTTACAAGATGAATAGCTTAATTAAATCAGATCTTTGCATTATTTGTCAAAAAAATAAAAACCTTAAAGTTACTAGTACAGATAGCGGCAGAAATAAAATTATTCAGTCAGCAAATGTTCGTAAAGATGATGTGTATAATAGACTGCAAATTTTAACAAATAAAAGTATTTTGTATTATTTTTGGATATTTAAAACTGTCGTATCTCGAAAAATATTGGTCTGATTGAAAAATGATAGAGACATTTTTTTATGACCTTATCTAGCTTAACATGATCCCAGAGTCCGTGTCCGCGAATTTCGTAACACTCTGTATACTCTATTGATTACAACAGCAACAGCAGCAGCAGCAGCTACAACAACAACAGCAGTAACAACAACAAACAGCAGCAGTAACAGTGACAACTAAAGCACACTCCTTTAATCTATAATCAGAGTATTTCTAAGTAGTCAGAGATTCCTTACTGTAGTAGTCAAAGCATTCCTTCCTATCTCGATAGAACGCTTCGTATCCTCCTTACGCATACTGCCGACTAAGGAAACCAGTTCAAGTAACAAGATTTAAGAGCATTATCAACATCGTTGCCTTAGATTAGATGCCGTTGTTATTGCTGTTATTGATCTTGCTGGTGCTTATGCTTCTGTTGTTGTTGTTGTTGTCGTTGTTGTTGCCGTAGTAGTAGTAGTAGTAGTAGTAGTAGTAGTAGTAGTAGTAGTAGTAGTAGTAGTAGTAGTAGTAGTAGTAGTAGTAGTAGTAGTAGTAGTTGTTGTTGTTGTTGTTGTTGTTGTTGTTGTACTAGTTGTTGTAGTTAACGCTGCAGTTGCAGTCGTTGTTATTGATTCTATTGATAACAACAGCAACAGTGACGGTAATAGCTACAACAATAACAACAACAGTAACAATAACACCAGCAGCAGCAGGAATAACGACTGTAATAACAGGTACAACAGCAGCAGCAACAGCAACAGTGACAACTAAAGCACACTCCTTTAATCTATAATCAGAGTATTTCTAAGTAGTCGGATATTCCTTACTGTAGTAGTCAAAGCATTCCTTGCGAATTCGATGGAACGCATAGTATCCTCCTTACGCATACTGTCGGCTAAGGAAACCAGTTCAAGTAACAAGATTAAGAGCGTTATCAACATCGTTGCCTTAGATTAGATGTAGTTGTTATTGCTGTTATTGATCTTGCTGATGCTGCCACTTCTGTTGTTGTTGTTGCGGTTGTTGTTGCCGTAGTAGCAGTAGTAGTTGTAGTTCATAATGAATCGACGATCGCAGGTTTGAACAGTAATCATGATAAGCTTATCGTTCTTTTTCAAAATGAAATTGCAAATTTTGTTAATAGAAAACCATGTGTCTCGGAATCACCAATCAATAAACGATCAAGAGCTTTGGATTCGTCGCTTAAATGTCAGGAAATAATTAACTACAACAAGTTTAATAAACAAATGATAATACCGAAAGATTTTCCTATAAATGCAGAAAAAAAATCGTTATCAATTAACGATTTTCTTTATAGTTTGAGAAATACTGATCTTTTCTGGTATATATTGCGAATATTTCGGGTTCCTCTGAGGCTATATCAAACAAACAATCATATCGCTTTGGAGCGCTTTTAACTAATTTATTACAGAAGATAATCGTTGTAAACAGAAAGTTGGTTACTTTTCTGTCATTGCTGCTGCAGCAACAGGTCCTAGTACAATTTATACGTGTATGCAAACTTTCGTAAAAGTTGCACTTCAATTGAAGCAAAAACATTTGCCTATATTTTGCGACGGAGGTGTGTATAAAATAACGAGATAAATTAAATTGGAAAATGAAGAAGAATTTGAGAATCTTATTTTATGCCTAGGTGGTTTTCATTTAATCAAGGTTGTATTACCGTGCATAGGAAAATATTTGAAAAAAATAGTGGCATCGAAAATATTTTTATTGAGACCGATTTGTTTGGAGCACACATTACAGAAAAACTGCTAGAAGGAACTAATTATGCTA